TTAAATATACTGAGGCCTAGGGCAAACGTCGAACTTTCCATGCACCAAACTTATTAAAAACAATTGATATCAGGTGATAATGAGGCGGCATTCTTTGATGTAATTATCGGTGCATGGAAGTTCGACGTTTGCCCTAGGCCTTAGTTATTTTAAAACTTGAATACTATCTTTATGGGTTACCTTTACTTTTTCAGTTGAGAGRGGCATGGTTCCATTTCCTTGAAATTTTGTTTCATAAAAACATGTCTGTTTACAAAGACTGTTATTTTTATACGAGAGCTTCTTATCGCGTTTATTACAATGATGCAGTAAGACATTGTGAACCCTCTTTCCTGAGATTATCACCACAATGAAACAAGCATTCTCTRTAAAGTACAGCTAAAAATGGCTTCTGGCTTTGCAAGAAAGTTGTGTGGACGAAGACAAGACGAAGAACCTGATGAAGTAGTTCCAGTGAGTATTCTCATATATAATCCAAGTAATCTCTACACATGCAGCAGGCAGGCGCGCTCTATCTTTCTTGTATTTTTGTTTCTTTTTTCGCGACATATGATTTAYAATAAGCTTATGTGTACAGTAAGTGTTATGAATACAGTAAAAATCCACATTATAAGAGACTACTTTTTTCCCCAAGTCAGACTGTATTTTCTTACATATTTGGTATCTAGTGAGAAATCAGGCTGTTTATATCATAAAGACTCTTACAGTTGATTTCAAAAAACTTCGGCCACTTCGTGTCTGAAGTTCCGTTCGCAAGTTCACAACTTTGTTATGAATTTCACCAAGGAGTTCCGACAGTTGTCGGCGATCTTTCAAACTGATWTATACCCTGCAAACAGAGGTCTTTTTCTGACAGCCAGCCCCACGGAGGGTCAGAAAAAAACCTCTGCTCGCAGGGTAAAACTGATTATACAGTAGCTTCTAAAACTCATCAAATCTACCGTTCAAATTCAATTTTCAAAGTAAATTTTGTTGCGACAAWAGGAATTTGACTCTACGTTGTCTGGAATACAATTTCCGTAAAGTATATGGGTTAAAGAATTCTAGACATAAACAAGTCACGGTTGATTGAACCAATTTCACAAAAAGTTCACAAGTTCGGGACTAACTTGGAGAACTTGAGAACTAACTTCGGAATTAAAGCGTCCGAAATTTTGTGAAACCAACTGTAACAGGTTCTTATTTACAAACTAAAAATACTTTTTCCTGATATTGTGTTAAAAAAAATTTTTATTCTATTTTTTTTTTTAAAATAAGGAAGGTATTTAACCTGCATGGTCCTCTTTTCACATTAAACAATAGAAATATCCCTATAAATGACTCTTAAAACATGTGCTTTGTACATATTTGTTAAAACTTTCACAAGAACCTCTGACATTTCTCTGGCTGAAACTTTGTGGTTCTTGTTATTGACTACCTTTCAAAATTTGGTTTTTGTTGGTACTGGTTATATTTGCTGTCTTTCAGTGACAATCAGAATGAAAGACTTGGCATATGGTCAATTTAAGTATCATCTCTTTGTAAAACTAATCTTTAAAACTTAACCAACATACAATTTCATCCTATATACAGATAAGTTGTTGAAGTCAATTTACAGTTGAGCCCGGGGGGGTACTACCTAAAATTGTGATTTTACATACCCTACCCCAGACTAAAACTAGGAATTCTACACCCTATCCCATACTAAGYCCGGTTATTCAATAGATTGCAATCAATATTTGCTAACGTTTTTCTTGTTTTTGTGCCGTAAGAAAGCRCAGTCTAAACTCACATTGCCAAACAAAAATGACCAAATTGTTAACCCTATCCCAGACTAAAACCACCAAATTGTTAGTGTTTGTACTCTATTAGCTCTTTATGACTACATGGATAAAAAAATACTTACTTAAGGTTAAAGGGTTGGATAGATGAAGTCACWTAAATCAGATAAGTTATTTACTATATTTAATAGCACAAGTTATTATTATTGCTTACATCACAGCACCTAGCAGTATTTTAGGTGGACAAACRTAAATTTGAATTTAGTATTAAATGCACACCAACTCTATAAAAATCTCTTGAAAGCCAACTAAAGGACTGAGTGCAATAATAATCAGGAGGGGTTCTGAAAAAATTGGGGGGGGGGGGTAATTTAATTAAAATTGATTTAAAGATGGGAGATAAATAATTCATTCTACAGCTAGGGGATCTTAAGTTTTATATGGTCTTTGTAATAAAAACCATTCTCAGTGATCAAATCGACTGGCTTCTTCTAAGTTTACAAGTGAAGCAATAGGCCACTTTGGAAACGAGTGAGGGACTGGGAACGAGTATATAAAAGATATTGACAATTAATCTTATTAATAAATATTTATTTCCATATTTATAAAGAGAAACATTGAAACTAACAGTATGTTAGTTTCTGCAGTATGGCTTCGATTGGCTAAGTAATAGCTAAGCTATAAGCAATCAAACAAGTTAAAAATACGAAGAAATATTTGTATATTAGGGAGAAGAATCCCCAGTAACCACACATTTCTTTGTAATTTTTGAGATATTTGGGAGGTTGCTACACAAAAGAMACAGACGGGGAGGGGAACATAGGGGCGGGCATTATTTCTAACAGGTCTTCAGGGGTGGTGCAAACTAAACTTTTATTTTGGAAGGGTATAGACTTATACCAAGTCTCGCTCGCTATTTTTTTCCGTTGCAAACTCTGATTCAAATACTGCCCTTCCGGTCACGCACAGAGGCAAMCTTGCAAAGTTAGTCAAAAGATAATGGAATGGTTCACAGAAAAGAATGATTTCGTTTAACATGTCTAAGACGATCTTCTTCCTTATTTCTCTCTAAGGTATTCTCTACATGATATTTAAATATTTGCAGGTTCTGCCCTTTTTTAGACCACAAAATAAACAGTTTTGCGTTATGCATGTCACACTAGTGAATTTGATCTTGCGCCATGACGCAACAAGATCAAATATCCCAATGTTCTCTGTCAAAATCACCAAAATAATGCAATAGTTTTCACGGCACCACCCACTAGTCTTTTGCGGGCATATGATGATCCAAGTGCAGTAAATGTTCTTGTCAGTAAACTGTGCCAGGAAAGATAGGAAAGCATAGGTCTACTTTTCGCGGATCGATATTGCTTATATGACTGATAATGTCTGATCGAACTTATACAGGCTTA